CGAATCACAGTTTCAAGGCATCTGATTGGCTGTTCATTACTGATGTCACTCTTTCATGTGCACGTGCTCCATTAACTCAGGATCAAGCCTGAGTTGACAGAGAAAGTGGGTTTTAGGTACCATGAAAGTGGCTTGGCTTTTAGAGGCATTCGTTGCCTTAGTAACTTACACTCCACAGCTGCTCTGGGGCAGGTTATGTTCTGGTTTAGAGATCTCAAAGTGAAATTTGACCAATCAGCTTCAAGCAAAGTGACACATGTCTGACGCAATAAAGCCACTCCCCCAGTTTCTCTTACTCCAAATTAAAGGACACTACATAGTAAAACATTTTTAAAGATAAAATTGTCTGAATTTAGAGATGATTATTTTTTATAATTATTTTATATGATTTATATAATTATTATACCCTTAATCCATTACACAAGCTAGCTTAGTTTAATAACAAAGCCGGATTGGACTGGTTTGGTTTTGTCAACTCAAAACTAATCCTGTAACCCCGACTTTGTTCAGCCACCATCATGGTGCAAGCCCCTGGTTGACTGATGATCCGATCTGCTTAATCAGATCACGGTGATCGCATGTTAATGCGATAGATACCATAGATACTGTAGTAGTAGTAGTAGTAGTAGTAATAGTAATACATATTCTTAATAATGTGCTTTTCTAGTACCCAAAATTGCTACAAACAGTTACAAATAAAAAATAAAATATAAAAATTCTGTAGCAGTACAAAACAATAAATCAATACAAAACATTACAGTACAGCTAACTAATACAATAAAATACTAATCATCTCAATCTATGTAGGCGATTTTAAAAAGATGGGTTTTTAACAACAATTTAAAAAGGTCTAATGTGGGAACACTTCTAACTGTAAAAGGAAGTGTATTCCATAACCTAGGTGCAACAACAGAGAAAGCTTTCTCTTTTTTTTCAAGAAACGAGCTGCTAAAAAGTAAAAGAATCAGCAAAACAAAGAGAACGAGAAGGCAGGTAAAGGGTAACTAAGTCACAGATATAAAAAGGGGCCATTACATGCACAGCTTTGTAAGTTAAAGTGAAAGTTTTAAAATCAATACACAACTGAACACGAAGCCAATGCAGACTATAAAGAATGCCTCACGCCTGTGATATGCTGACGAGATGGCGTGTAAGTGAGAACACGTGTTGCTTAATACTGGATATATTGCAGCCATTTGAAAGATTTAACAGGTAGACCAACAAATAGTGCATTACAATAATCAATCTTGGAAGTAACATATGCGTCAATAAGCCTTTCAGCATCAGAGAGTGTGAGGAAAGGCCTACAGAATGCAAATTTTGTGATACTCTTAATATGTGAAATCTTATGTCAAATCACACCAAAGTTATGAGCATGAGTAGATGGAATTATGGTACTATTGTCCATAATCAAATTAAAACTGCTACCTTTATAAATATCTGCTATAGATCTGATGTTCAATAATCTACTGTCTCCAGAAGGTATAACTGATGGTTATCTTGTTTTACTTCTTTAGCCAAATATTATTCTTAAAAGAGGTGAGACAGATGTGCTCAGCTGAGTTTGAACATTCAGGTTTCCCAATACCTCTCTAAACACATCCAGACACAGGAATATTATTTCTTCTTCTTTATGTTTGATTGATGCTGATTTGTTTATTTGTAGGTCTTTACATAACAAAAAACTCAGGCACTTGATAACTTGCCTATTATAACTTGCCCGTTATGCGAGTTTGGAAATATCAAGTATGTTTTATTCATTGCATTAGAATGACAAGTGAAAAGTTAGATCAGTGCCTCATACTTGATTATTTTCTCCTGCCAGTACTTCAGTGAAATTCCATGTGAAACATCTGTTAAGGAGCAGTTGATGCTAACACACTCAGAGGACACCTGGCTCTTGTGTATGCTGATTAGCAATCACTCCATGCATTGTTCTTAGCAGTACAAACACTCAGCAATAAGAGGACAAACCATTAGCAACATGTTAATGGAGAGTACCATTTACACTAATAAGACTGTGAGCAATAGTGTACTACACATTTGTGACTCATTTGTTTAACTCTGAAAATATATTTCCCTTCAAGTCATATCAATGCATAACAGATCCTGTCAAACACTTGCTTTAGAGTTTAATCTCCCCAGCACATGCTCATGATGTGCTGGGGAGATTAAGGCAGAATGTGGAGCTGTGGTGGACTCAATTCAATGGCTTGGTTCTACCCAGCCAGGAACCCTAAATTAAAGCTCTTCTTACAAACTGGAGGTGCCCAGACAGCGGCCTTGGCCCTTGTCTGTGGAGGGTCACATATACTGTACACATGCAGGGGGATTATGGGATGAAAGAATACCACTGACTGTGAAATTGCGTGATTTCTGTTAGGTTGCAAAGGGGAAGCAGCTGTGTATAATTCTGGATATTAATCACAGGGACAGGGACTAAAGTGCTTTTTTGTGTGCAATTGTGTTTCAGTGGACCTGAGTGCATCTGTTATGTGAAAAACTTCAGGAGCTGCAATTTTACCGAACACATCTGGAAAGGTAGTTAATCACATCAAATCACAAAACGTAAAAGGAAATGGCTGATAAATGACAGAGGTCTGAGAAACCCCAGTCTGGGTTTCTCATTGGCTTTGCCATTGAGTGTGAGCCTCAGTTGGGTTTGATCTCTATCAGTTTGTGGCATTATGAGAGCATTGTTGGTGCATTTGAATCCTAATCCTGCCCTTCACTCCCCCTGATAAATCGCTATACTTTAGGGAAAACTTAATCCTTTGTATAGGGTTTATCATCCCTCTTCCAGCTTAAGTTTGAGAGAGCTCATGATGTGAATTTCCATAGGAGGCCAAGGACTAGCGCCATCAATAATCATATTTATTTCGGCAACTCACACTGGTGATTAGATGCTGCTCACTGATAATTCTCTTGCAAGTGAACTGCCCGAGATCTAACATAACACAACATCATACAGGCTGGTGGGGCTTCTTTTACCCTGTATAGAATACTCTCAGAGTTGAAGAGGGAATGTTGAAGCTCGATCCAGTCCTGGATCAGAAAGCCCATCTCTTTCCCAGAGCTGCAGGTGACAGGCAAACACACAACACAAATGCCACCATGACTGTAGGAGCCGAATCATCTCTGGAGGCAAAACTGGCTCATCTAAGCACTGTGGAGTGGCAAGGCTTTAATACATATTATTCACAAAGAGCATGATTGATAATGCAAATGTGTCCAGCTGCTAGGGTTGGCAGCCAGAGCGCAGCGCTGCTCCCGGTGTTTTGCCTCGAATCGCAGAGCCACATTAGAGCCACGTCCCCTGACACCAAAGCAGCATGTGGGAAGACCTCACTCTTCTGTAGATGCTTTTTCACAGACATTTGTTTGTGTCCTTACTTACAATCAGCGATCCGTATGGTACGGAGAGGTCCACAGGGACAATGGGTTGTGCAGTGGCTTTGTATTTGACTATCAAAATGCCCATCAATACAACATGAGAGATCTGAGTCACCGATTACCATGCTTAGTAGCACAGCACCCCCTTGTGAACATTCCACAGCCAAGACTGGCATGGTTTTCTAAGAAATGCATGCAGGTTTTTAGATTCCCCACTGGGCTCTACTGGTTTCTTGCAGTAAATTTGCTTAATGATAATAATAATAATAATAATAATAATAAAGCAAGATCAGAACATGCAATGTAACTAAATATATTTAAAACCATTAATCAGAAAACATTAGAAAGACATTCTCATCAAATTATGGTAGAATCTCAAGTTGAATTTTATTTATTGGCAACATAGTAAAGAAATTGTCAATATATTGTCTAAATGATTTTTGATAAATAGTGGCAGTGAAGGATACAAAAAGATCTCTGTATAACAATGTACAACACAATCTTGAGCAGTCAGTTAAAAAGAAGAAATAGTGGGAGAATTAAATAATCAATTGTGGGGGTAACACTTTAGATTAGGGAACACATATTCACTATTAGCTAAGAGTTTTCTCTCAATAAACTCCCAATTTCATGCTTATTGATAGTAGGTAAGGTAGTTGTTTGTGGTAGTTATGTTTAGATATGGGGTAGGGTTAAGGGATCTAGAATATGGTCATGCAAAATAATGCATTAATATGTTCTTTGTAAGTACTAATAAACAGCCAATATGTTAGCAATATGCATGCTAATAAGCAACTAGTTAATAGTGAATAGTATTCCCTATTCTAAAGTATTACCCTAGTGGAATATGAATAAAAGTGAATAATTATTTATTATTTCTCTGACACTGGATATTAACTAACCTGATGTAATGAGAAAACTTCACTATTTTAGGCACTTTCGTATGAATTCATACAATGTGATTTGTATGAAAATGTATGATTTTTAGAAAAAAGTAACCATGAAGGTCCACCACCAACCTCACACCTAAACCATCAGCAGATCATGTGAACGTGTACAAACAGAACAATAAAAAAAATCATACAAATTAGCCGCAATTATCATGTAAAATAGTTACGAATTGCCATGAAATTGTTGATATTAATGTGCACTATATTGTATCAGTTCCTGTTTAGTGCATTTCTTTGACAGATCAGTGCTTCCACAATCAGGATGACTGAAAGAAGATGAACATTTAATCAATAAAGGTCACAGCAGCACACAGTTAAACTTTTCTTGAAATTTGTATGAAACTGCATTACAGATGCATATTGTTTTAAATTAATTTATTTTATTTTTCTTTTATTCATGAATTAAACTTACAAAAGAGCTAATGATTCACATTTTGCATATTATTATTATTATTATTATTATTATATATATATATTTTTTTTTAAAGTAAATATTAAATGGTTTGTTTGTTAATACCTTCTCTTACTGTTTGTCTGCTTTCCTGAAGAAATTTGACTATTAAAAAATATTATTATTATTATTATTATTATTATTATTATATATATATATTTTTTTTTAAAGTAAATATTAAATGGTTTGTTTGTTAATACCTTCTCTTACTGTTTGTCTGCTTTCCTGAAGAAATTTGACTATTAAAAAATAACAGATGAAAAATATGACAACTGAATGGGTAAAACCATTTGCTAGAAACAAAGTATTATAGTATTCTTAAGAAACGACAAATGCATGTGCAAAATGAAAACTCACATTCTGTCCTTTTATAGGTTTACTGTAGAACTCAGTGTCCGCTTGCTGACTCGCTCTTTGACACTCATTTGCAGATGCAGCTACAACAGAAATAAATAAAAAATTCATTAAAGTATTTGACACTGCTATTATGAGTAGACAGAGCTTAGTGATTGGTGGCTGACTCTAGATGTGATCTCATAAATTGCAAAAACACTCTATAGGAGCATAGGATGGTATAGACCTATAGAAGGTACTATTGTATCTCAAAGTCTTCCATGTTACACAGTTTTCCAGACACAGAGACTAAAGTCCTTGTGTATAAGCCAACAGGTCTAACAGTTTCCCTGAGACACAAAAGCTTAATTGCCACATATAAGGAAAGGAGGAGACAGCTATAGAGAAAATGTAACTGCAACAAGTAAAAAATTCTTACTTTCATAGCAGGGCATTTCTTACTTACTTGGTGTGTGATGAATGATGCTGATTTTATCTGATGGAGAGAAAAGATGCCTGTTAGCTCACATACACTTGCATTCCGTCTAGCTCACCCAAGGTCACTTTATTTTTCTCTTTCTCATATTCTCACTGTAATCTTTACATTAAAGAATCTCGCTGATCTGTGAGATGTTTTCTCAACTGATAGGGACTGAGTGCAAAGTGACTGTGCAAAATGAACAACACAAGCAGCTTTTTTTTTCTGAGAAAATGTGTTTTGATGCATGTGCAACCAGACTTAAAAAAAAAAAAAAACTTGAAAATGGGCCCCAAGTTTTTTTTTTTTTTTTTTACACTTGAAATCTTTGAATACATATACTATATACTAGCAATAAACCTACCATAGACACTTTCATCATCCTCTCTGTTGCTGATGATACTAGCCCTCAGCTGCTGTATTTTCTCCTGGGGAAAACAATTTTTTAAACAGGCTTTAATATGCACTTTTTAGATTTTATGTCATGAGGAATCAATAATTATTTTTTTGGTTGTGTAAGGTAAAAATAATTAACTATTCTGTTTAAAAGCAATTTTTTTTTTCAAATGTGCATAGGGATTGACTGCCTCATAAACAGAAACAGCACAGTCCTGGTGCTAACTCAGAATTCTATCCTATCTGTTCAGTAATCATATAGGGGAGAGCGGGGCACAAAGAAACACTTTTTGACTTTCTCAGTTTGTGTAAATCCACATGGGGTTCAGAATATAATTTTTTTATCCACAATAATTTTACACTTGTCTAGTACAAATATGTCGCTTTGTTTCATGATTACAGTGTATATGTTTTTCTTTATTTACCCTAAAAAAATGGAAGTGAAATGTGACAACATGCCCCATAGGTGGGGTACATTGTAACATCTGAGGGGCACGTTGTAACATGACCA